GCGAGGCAGGTAAGGAGTCGGCTGGTTACCAAGCTGTCTAATTAAGCTGTTGAGGCGCACGGAGCCACGGCACTGCAGCCCACCAGCTGTGCTCAGCCGAAAACCCAGAAATTGCTCACAACACAACTAAGTTAGGCCTCCATGGACGGGGGGGGGGGGGGAGGAAATAACAGTGCTGTGTACACAAAGACAAATATCCCATGTGCAGCCTACATAGGCTGTTGGGGCACGATTGGGTGATGTGGCTGACAGCCCACATCAGGGAGCTGAGTCGATATAACAGAGGCCAAGGATCCGATCAGATGCTCGCCACTGATGGTGGCCATGGCCAGGATTCGAACTCGGATTGTAGAGCACGTAGCACAGTTACGCTAACCGCGACATTACCACTCCCGACATGTACGAGGTCCTCGTGCTTTGTGTGTGCGCACACACACACACCTAAAAAAAAACCATAATCCCTTCCTCACCGCATAGCACTGTCCTGATAGCTCTGTGCACCTCCACCACGCCTCCTCCCACCGAAGTCTGGCTTTTTCTCTCCCGCGCTCTCGCTCGTTCTCTCTCGCTGAGAAGTCGGCTGCTTTCGCCCTTGGTGGCAGCTTTTATTTAATCGCTTGACGCACGATGCTGAGATTGCGCCGCTCCTTTCGCGGTTCAAATGGGGAGGGCGACTTGCTTGTTGGGGGTTTTGCACGAAGCAGATAGGGAGAGCGTGGATGGAAGAGAAAAAAACTGAAGACAAAAAAAAATCCGCTTATTCCACTGAAGGGTTTTGTCTGGTTATACGAAAAACCCTGTCAAAGCTGTGAAATTGCTCTTTTAAAAGCTTAAAGTTGTGCATTTGATTCAGTGTAAATATCAGGCTGTATCACACTGTGACAGCGAAATCCAAAGGTTCAGTGCATTAGACAATGGGTGTTTGTATGAGCACACACACACATGCTGCACCCACTTCCTCCGGGCACTTAATCCTTAAATGACAGTCAACTTTTGCCTTTCAAAGCCCGCGTGCTGTACTGACCTCTGCTGCCCTTCCTTTCCCATCAAATACATGATCTCATGTTTTACAAAGATGCTTTATTTTCACATTTTCCCCTGGCTATTAAATTAAAGCACATTTTGTCCATGGCTATACAATTTGCCGTTTTCCATAATGAAAGTGGCCAGAGGGGGGGTGGGGGGGGGAGGTTATTTGTACTTTTTAAATCCAGATGGAATTAGTGCAGTTAACATTTTTTAATTATTTATGCAAGCTATACCTGGCTTGCCAATTTAGCAAAAAAAAAAAGCTCTGTATAATAAAAAAAGTGTATTTCTAGACTGTAAAACTTTTTATTTTTTAATATATTTTACTTTTGTGTCCAATTTGCCAACGTTAACACGTCTAGCACGTGACACTTTGTGAAGTAATTTTAGTTTGGGACCCACTTGGGGAATCTCATGGCCCTTCCATTAAACGAAGAAACAACAATTTGCAGAAATACTTCCAAGTCTGTCTGGGAGTATCCTGTCTGTGCACGGACAAATTAACTGGTGAGAGTTTTTGGAACACCTAACATCAGCTGTGACTGACAAATTAAACATGAGAAGCACAGAGAGCTATCAATCATTCAATTGGGCACGCCTGCCGTTGAACTCTTGCAAAATGCGTGCTGCCTCTTTCGCAGATGTGCGGAATGGAGTTTGACTCCAGTGAATTGTTTTCAGCTGTGAAGCATTCACATTTACCCCCCCCCACCCCCCATTAATTTTACAAACATGTATATAAACAAGACAACGATGATATCAGCTCATGTGCAGGTGCTACGTGGATTATTATACATTGCAGGAATGCGAGAGATGACAGTGGCTTAAGGGAAGCCTTCATTCAGCAGTGGATTGACCACAATGATTATGATTAACCACACTCACAGATGATCGTCATATATTAAACGATGGTAATATACAAGAACACATTAGTGTGGCGTGGTGGTGCAGTAGTTAATGCACGGTGTTATAAACACACTTCCATGAGTTCGATTCCCAACCACAACTGATGTCAGTGGTGGGTGAAATCCTTAACCAGTCCTGCGCCCCTACCTTTCACCAACCCGCACTGATCAGCGTGGTGAAGTATAGTTTAAAAAACGGACGAAGCCGGCACAGCACGGGAGAGCTTTCATCCAGCAGTAGCCTGACAAAGCGGCTGTAAATTAAACATGATTTATTTATTTGTACGCAAGAACACATTCCATTTTTTGGCTTGGAATGGCTTTAAAAAAAACATGATCAAATATAATTAGTGTGTTTGCTCTAACAGCTTTAGGAGCTTATTGGACTTGATGTGCACCCCATAGCCTCTTGCCCAGTACACATCACCCCTCCCAGACACACGCTCGTTGTACGCCAAGCCTCGCGCTCCGGTAACAAATTCCCTCCCACTCACAAACCCAAAAACAGGCAGCTGGCTGGTCACGCATGATGAATGAAGTTCACCCGCCCCCCCCTTGCACCCTCTCAGTTCCCGCTCGAAACACAGCCATCCGCTTGGCCGCACTCTCCTCGGCTGCACCAGGTCGCGTTTACCTTTGCAGCCAAGAGAAACTAGAGCTTAACCCGACACACGTGTGCAACTCATGCCAAGGGGTCTTTTTCGCACATGCGACAAAGACGAAGATTCCCCCCGTGTAGCCTTCACAGACGGTTGGGGCGGGTGCTGTGTGCGAGCACCACGACCGACCGCCTTTGTCTCCCGAGTGGCGATGTTTCCACACCGCACCACGTACTCATTTGAGGCCGAGGCTGCCTAGGGGAGGCCCAGGACCGGTTCAGATAATTGCCATTGCTGTTGACCGTGAATCGAACCCGGGTAGCCGGGTTCGTAGTGCAGTGCGCGAACCACTACACTACCGCTCCCCACTACCGCAACATGCGACACACACACGCAGGCAAATCTTCAAACTATGGCTGCTTGTCACTCAGGGTGGGGTTGGTACACTGGGTAAGTGTGCACCATATATGCTGGTCTGCTGGTTCCAAGTGTTGACACACATGCACCTCTTCAAGCTACACCTGGTGTCACGCATGGAGGGCACACTGGTATGTGTATATGCAAGACTGCAGGTATGAAAGCATGCGCAAGAAAGCATGCGCACGTACATACACGCACAATCACTTCTTAAAACTGTGGGCTGGTGTCACTCAAGCTGACCACCACACTGTTACGTGTTCATAACACATGCTAGTCTAGATGCGTGTGCCAAGCATGTACACCGACAGCAAAGAGCCACCATTTGCCACTATTTGGCAGTGATGTCACCACAGAGCTTGTGCCAAGCTAGGTGCACTATGATGTCACATGGAGCGTCAAAGGCTTACTTGCAGCAGATCATGGGACAGACCCAGGTATGATGGGTTAAATAGCGAGATTACTGGCGTGTGTACACAAAGACAAATAACCCCCGAACAGCATTTAACAGACTTTTGGGGCAAGTGCTGTTAGCGATGACCTATGAAGGCTGGCATGGCAGATGAGGGGATGGGTGGCCTGCACCACACCTGACCATCTTTTTCTCCCCAGTGCCGATGTTTAACACTGCATCAAGTACTCATTCAAGGCTGTCGACCCAGCTATTATTGGTCCTGAGCGGGTATTCAAGTCGAAATCGCCAGTTTCGAAGTGCAGTGCACTGACCACGACACGACCGTTCCCAAGACAAAATACAAAGATCCCCTGCATAGCCATCACAGACTCGTTTGGCAAGTGCTGTTAGCAAGCGCATATGAAGGCCGGCACCGCACACAAGGGGGTGGGTGGCTAGCACCACATCCGGCCGCCTTTGTCTCCCGAGCAGCGATATTTACGCATCGCACCAGGTACTCATTTGAGGATCAGTCAGATAATCGTCACTGGTGTTCGCTGCGAGCCCGGGTTCGTAGCGCAGCGTGATACCCATTGCACTACATGCACACACACACGTGGGCTTCTTCAAACCACGACTTCGCATCACGCTGGGAGATGTACACAATACATGCAGGTCTGCATGTACCAAAGCATGCGGATATACACACACACGAACATACACACACTACCCACGCGCAGGGTTTGGCATACTCACGGGAGCTGACACCGACACAAGCGAAAGCGTGCACAGACAGACGCACACGTTGACTATAATTGCTGTTTCATGCAAATAATGAGCTTGATGGTTTATTTTCCATTCAGTGGTTCATGTAATTTTTACAACGCTGTTCCCAATTACTGGCACCTGCGGGGCCTGAGAGCTGCACTATTTGTTCTGAAATGGCGCACCTAAGACACGGGATAAGAATGCAATGAGATATGACGTGTAGGGTTATCTCTCGTGCGATGTAGAAGCCTCCCCACCTCTTCCCAGGCATGCGTGGAGAGACGTACACCATTTCCCGAAACTTCGCCATGCACTCAAATATTTAACCGATTTTTGCCGCATTCGCAGAGTGAATGCAACTTTTGTTTTGTCATCGCACGTTCAAATTGACGCACGCACACGCACAGCGTAAAGTCACATTCAATTCGCAAGTCGGTTAAACATTACCAGTCATAGAAATCCCCTTAAAATATACATATAAATAACGGAGCACGTCAAAACCACAGCTGACATTGACAGGCATGATTAGTATGCACAAATTTAACAAACAAAATCTGTACTCGTATGCCAACTAACAGGCAACTGACATTGGATATGCAGATCCTGAACTGAACAACATTTAACGGAATAAACAAAGCAACGCCTTGTCTGCAGATCGCAATTGGGAACACTTTGTTCATCGTGTAAATCAAATAAATAAAATCGCAGCTGCTATTACAAAGGCGGTGGTTATCAACAGAGAACTATTTAAAACGGTTGACAGCAACGGCGCTGATGATTAACAATGCACACCTCAGTTCCCTGCTCATCCGTAAGCTCCTTTACGCACATCGAGATTCGAATAGGCATGAAATGTCATTAAATGCGGAAAGCCCTCCGATGTCCTACCTTGCGTGCCACATACATCCCGTTCTGGTACTGGATGTATCCGTTCCTTGCTAGAGTCAAAACCATTCTTCTGGGACAGCGACTTCTATTTCAAAGCTGTAGGGTCCAGATAACGTTAAACAACACCTAACACCGATTCTTGCGGAAGACTTGCAGCGGCTGATTTTTTTTGTTTCTCTCTCTCTCTCTTTACAAACCAAAGGCTGACTTCTTTTTCACGAGAGGCGAGAGTACGGCGAGCGGTATTACCGAGCGGGTGGGAGAACACGCGACACGCCAAACACAGCGGGCGCACACTCAAGACAAGCTGACCGAGGTTGGGCAGTCGGGCAGGCAAAAGCGGACCGACGAGCGGACAGGCGAACAAAAAAAAGGAAGCTGCAGGCAGAGGGGCAAGGACAGACAGACACACAACTCGCGCCGGAGCCAGACACCAGGGCTGCTTATGGGAGCCAGACACGCTTCGCTGGCAGTAGTCGGGACAGCTTTGCTCGGGCTGAGGAATGCAGCCTTCTCTCGCAACGCCACCGCCTGCCACGCCTCGCCGTAGCACACACACACACTCGGGCTCCGTCCCGTTCGGGAAACCCAAGCAGGGCGGAGGGAGGGGGTGCTGGTGGTGGTGGTGGGGCGCAGGGGAAGAGAGGTGGGGGGGGTGTAAGAGGCTGGGCTGAGTTCGAGGTGCAGAGGATTGGGTGGGAGAGGGTTTGCGTGAGGTCATCAGCGAAGGGAGGAGCCGCTCGTTCGAGGCCACTCCTCGTGCGTTGGTGCGCGTGCACCAATTGTGGTGTGCACCCCCCCTCTCGCCTCCCCCCCCTCGCCCCCCCCTCGACCCCCCCATCAACCCCCCCCTCGACCCCCCCCTCGCCCACCCGCACATCTCTTAGCGGATCGGAGTGAGGTCATAAGAGTGGGCTGGGCTCCGGTACCCAGCGCCACTCGTGTTGCGATTGTCAGTGGCAATTTAAAGGCGGGCTGGCTTCGCTGTTTGGGGGTTTGGCGAGGTGGTGCGGCGGCGGCGGCGGGGAGGCAAGCGATGATCCATCTCAAACGCCACACCCGACTGCTCTCTGCTCCAATCACCGGATATCTGTGTGTTCTCACTGTGGGAGGGGCCAGGCTTACATCTGACAGCACTTAACATGTAGCGTGGGGGGGGGGGTGAGTATGCGTGTGTCCGTGCGTGCGCGCGCGCGCGTGCGTGTAAGCAACGAATGCGTGTGTGCGTGCGTGCGTACCGCGCGTACATGGAAATATTTTAATAGCAAACACTATATCATTGTCAGAGCCAGGCTAGAGTCTCAAGTACTGTGCGGTACGTTCGTGTTATTTTTGGCGGAGGACAGTTCGTGTCGAGTATGACTGGCCAACGCTTTATATTAAGATGATTTTTTTTTACATTTAATAACTGTAATACGTCTCGTGCGCACAGAATGGAACATATGGAGTAATTTAAAATGTGATTTTAGAAAGGGGCCATGAGCTGCAGGCAATTCCAGGTTTTTAAAACCCCACGTGGCAGCTGTCCGTGGCGCTAATTGATAACCAAACTGCGCAAGCCAAATAAAACGGGTGCGCCGAATTGGGAGGGAAAATAGACAATTACTGGTTTTTCATCTGTATAAAATATAATAATTAATTGCACTTTCGTTCCGTACTATAATAATGCATGCTAAAAGTCACAGAATAGAACCCAAATAATATATGCTATTAAAAAGGGAAAGTAGAGATCATGTATCCACGCTGAACTCAGATTATCACGGTTGGCTACGTACGGTGCAAAAGAAGTTCAACATACATACAGCTCTCATACAGAATCGGACCTCTTTTGTTTATTTCGAAAACTACCATTTGCATTGGAGTCACTGCGAGGCCCCCATAATGATCGCCACCTCGAGCCAATTTGCCAATTGGCCAAATGCAGCCATTTCTGCGATGAGTTTCAGGGGCGCCCTCGAGTGAACTAACTTTTTCCCAGATTTGAAATGCCTCGAAACGGGACACCAGCCCATTACCTCTGGATTGTAGGTCCCTATCAGTGGTGCATCTATTGAGTGTGCAACTGCCCCAGAGGCCAGAGGCTGGTAGTATCCAGGGGTTGTTGGGCAACAAGGAAGGGGAGTCGGTGGGGGGGGGGGGGGTTGGGAATTGGACGGGGGCCCCATTTCATTCCTTGCTTCAGGGCCCATGCCAACCGTGCTACGCCACTGTTGTCTACAGCACAGCAGCTGCACACGATAGTCGGGAGAATGTCTGAATCTGAGCCCAGTATAAGAGCGCACGTTGTCACATAATAGCGCTGACAAATGGGCCGGAGGCGAAGTGTTCAATGCCATCGTTAATGGTGTAAATGGGCACGGCCTCGTCTGTCAGCCTTGCCAGTGACGTCTCCGAGAAAGCCAGTCCGGAGCATGTAGTCTCGCTGGCACTGGATCAGCAATCGCGCTGAGGATGTGCGTATACGATGACAGCCTATGGCACACAGAGCATAGGTCGAACACCACTCCAATTACGACTGAACTAGCCCCCGTAGCACACCAATATTATCTCGCAGAAATTGCTTAAGCGAGCAAATTCTGGACCAACGTATGTATAATCTTCCATAACAATTTTTCGATTTAAAGCTTTCGTGACTGCAGGGATTCATCTTGGTTCTTTCGGTAAAGTCACGTAGAAGGGAAATAATATAATGTTTTATTTTTATTATTTTATTATTTCACTTCTACGTGACTTTACCGAAAGAACCAAGAAGAGTTCCTTAACAAAGCATAATACGTTTTTATTCCACTTAACAAACGGCAAGAGGAAGTTGCTACTGTGTTCCTCAGTAAGCAAACGCACGTCAGCCTCCTAGGGCCAGACATTCTTACACTGCGCATATTCCAGGTCCGTACACTTTATATAATGCAACAGAATCTGGAGTTATACTAGCAACTCTCAAGAAACTGTAATTCATCTCACAGAACACCCATGTCTTGTGTCACGCTCAAGCCATCTCATAATTGAGCTGTGTAAACAACCACAACTCGAGTTTACGACGAAAGTCAAGTCACATCCAGTATGGACCACGTTTTACGATTGACGTGGCAGAGCTGGGCGCTCCGCAGTGCCACGTCGACACCCTTACTCCTGTGCTGGATCAAGGACTGACTGGACACCAATTCATCTTGTTCCACTGCACAACCGTGCCATGCTTGGGCCATACCAAACCAATGCAGCATGGCTTATGAGGCGCTACGATTTTCCACTGCAGCTGTACTGCTGACGTCACACGGAACGTACGCGTCATTCGCGTCCTGCCACCTCACCCTGCTTTTCCCCGAGCAAGATTCAGATGTTTCGTGAGGCCGCCGTATCACGGTTTGGTTCTGGCTCGGCACTACCAAATAGCCAGTGGAAACCTACCCACAACCGGGGGGTGGCCCCCACGTTCACTCGACGCGGATGTGCCAGCGGAAGAGGAGGACAAGATGCGCTCAGCAATGAGCACTGATCTCTGCGCAACGCCTGTCAGTTGTGTATCCCGAAACCATCAGTGACACCGGAGCAATCAGGTGAGCATCTGGGCCAATCAACGCTTCAATTGGTAAAAAAAAACGATTGCACGCAGTCCGCATGTGGGGGCGCAAACCTCAAAGACAAACAAGATTAACTGCGAGCAAAATTACTCTAATCCTTTTCCGTCCTATTTGATTCCGCAATAATTGAAAAAAAATAAAAATTAGTTCTGCAGTTGTTGCGCGTGAGCATGAGAGCCAATGTTAATACGAAGCAATTATTATTAAATCTACGGAACAGAATAGGCTATCAGTGTCAAGGTTGTGCCTTTATTTGCTATGCACTGGAAAGTGGATGATTGGAGAGTGGGAGGAGGAATATAGAGAGAATATTCGCCGTTCCACCTCATTTAACACAGAATCACGTCGGGTCACCCGCACATACGAGTGTGGCGTGTGGGTGTGTGTGTGAGTGCGTGTGGATGTGTGTGCGTGTGGGTGTGTGCGCGCGTGTAGGTGTGTGTGTGTGCACGTGTGGGTGGGTGTGTGTGTGTGCGCGTGCGTGGGTGCGGGTAGAATGTAATAAAGCACCTCACCAAGGGGCAAAGCTAACAAACCAAATGCCTCTCCTAAACTACAAAAAAACGCAAGCAGCACTCCACGCAAAAGAAAAAAAAACCGGACAGGCCTTTAAGTATTAAAACCTCGGGGGAGGTGGAGTCATTAGTTGGGAGCTGGGAGAGACCTTTTTTAATTGAGTCTAAAGTCCAAACAGCTTGAGATTGACAAGGTTATGAGAAGGTGGCTGAAGTCTGTATATTCCAATTCAGCGCTTGTAATTAGTCCCCATGCCCCATGGTACGTCTCCTTTTTTTTCGCTTCCCGCATTGCACGCCTCTTCGTGTTCATTTGTCATGGCCAGTGGAGAGACATTCCTCTCCCTCGTCGCTTAATAGTTGAACCGTTACGAGCCAAACTATCTTAATATTAATGGCGGGGGAATTCATGAATTAATAATCTCTATGCAGGATGCTATTGTGCACGTCCACAAATCAACAATGCCTTTCTCGTGCCAATGCAAAAACTGTACGCTATTATTTGCAGGGACAATGTTTTACTTAGAACTGTAGAAACATTTTGCTTGCTCGATCACATTCCTCTAAGCCTCTGTGGGCAAGTGCGGCTGAGTTCCCATGCTAAACCATCTGCAGCTCGCAGCATCTCTCTGTGCTCATGCCATCATAATGGATTTAATTTCCCAAAGGCAATAAATTACATAGGAAAGCCGGCGCTGCTCGCGAACAATGCGCTTTTACATGAAATAATAAGGCCGCCAGTGTCCAGACATGACTATCTTGTGGGGAACTGACAAGCGATTCCAGCTTTTATTACTCATACTCGGGGACTTGCATCCACGCAGCTTTTTGCTACATGCATTGATATCCAGGGGAAATCGTGTGTAGCTAATGACAGGAAATACAAATGTCCAAGCACGCGGCACAACCAGGCACATGGTTTGCGTGTAAAATAAGGTCACGGCTGAATCATTGCTGAAATAAAGTCTTACAAACGCACCCGGGGTTCATGTTTCTCAAAAAAAATAACGCAACCTCACAACTGCATAAATACCGATGTTGTGTTTTTTTTTTACCCCCCTCCCCCCCCCCCCAAAAAAAAACTTGAAGACGTACAAAAAAGTGAGGAATGGGTTTTTTGAGGTCAAAATAGTCTGAGATGTGGCAATACTGGGAATCACTTTCACGTTGCTAAAACCACGTGCTTTACAGGAACACTTTCTCACAGGAGAATAACAGGATGGATTTATTTTCATAATGGCTCCAAGACGTGATGCCAACCGGTAATGGCAAGTGCAAGGTCTCCACAGAAAAATGACACCCGATGCAGAATTGATATAACATCCATTAGATGATATGCTTTGCCAATTCAGTGCAGGACATGCACATGTGAAAAATAGACACACAATGTAAGTGGTATTGGCCAAACATTCCAATATGCTGAGAAAATTAATT